TATGAATTTGGGGTCAATTACGCCGTAAAATAGACTAATGTTGAGATAAGGCTATGTTAAGCTGCGTTTTTCATATTATATGGTACTAAAAACTGTCAAAGTTTATGTAGTTGCATTGCAGTCAAGCGTTTTGCACATAAAGTCTAACTTCTCACTTATGATAAGATCCTTTTTTGACGTTTGTGCGTTTTCTAAGTTAAGTTTTATATCTCAAACGCCTGACTGCACAGCAACTACATAAACTTTTGACAGTTTTTAGTGCGATTTTATATGAAAAACGCAACCTGCCATAGCCTTGTTATAACATTGGTCCATTTTACAGTAGAATTGGTCCTTTAAGGTTTTGTACAGATGCTAATTATTTGTTTAAGTGATTTTTTAAAGCATTTTTTTATTTTATAAAATTATAGAGTTCTAAAGCTTGCACATTTCTGCAAAGATTTTTGTGTGAAGCAGTTCAATGGAAATAGCTTAGAATTTCAATAAAATTATTAAAATATAAGGTGAAAAAATGATTTTCTGAGAAAATAGCCTGTTACATAGTAAAATTAAGAAGCTAATAAGACAGTACAAGTTTTTTAGAAAATATAAATATTAAAGAAGTCAATTATAAACCATATAAGAAGCAAGAGAGTGTTTAAAATTTTTTGGAGTTTGTCTTGTGAAAAATTGGATGCAATTATTGCAATTTTATATGTGGGCCTAAACAATATAATAAAATAACATTTGGTTACATTATCTGAAATCAGAGGCAGAATTTTTCCTATATTTTTATAAAAGCTTAGAATTAAGTTGCATAAACTTGCCATATGTATAGATAATCGATAATATGATAAACAACAAAAAATCTGATTTGTTTATAATCTACCTAATTTTCTGGTCACCTGTCTACCCGTCCACGTGTTTACCTGTGTACCCTACTTGTCTAACTTTTTGCCTACAAATGTTTCTAATTGTCTATGTTTTTATCTATATATCTTTATATACTTTTCTCTGTCCAACTGTTTACATGCCTACCAGTTTACTACTTTGTGGTATTTGCAAATAAAAATATTTTTTTTAGTAATTATCTTCATGGTATAAAGCAACTTTGTGCACTAAAACCAAGTCTTAGGTTCCTTAAATAGCATGACTACTTTTGTTATCAGATTTGTGTTTTTATTATAATGAATAAATTATGATGGTATGCAATTTTCAGACATTTGATGAGATTCAGACATTTTCATTCAATCAAGAATATTTAACAGAAATCTATTTGGACATATGCTAAAAATCATTGGACGTCACAGATTATGTTGTTCTAATGTGAATTACTTTAACAAGTATTGGCAAATATAAGCAAGTTAAAATATTAAACAGTTTTACAAATATTTGTTCAGAAATTTATCGTTTTTATACTTTTTGCTAAATATGTATTTAGCACGACAATATGTAATACCTACTTTAAGCCCAATGTAATGCGTCCAATAATCCTATGTCAAAGATCCAGTATTACTATTCATTTGCTAATAATGTCACTTGCTTATTCTATAACCAACTTCAGTCATGTTGTCAGCTTTATGTTGTAGAATCATACACCAAAGGCGCCTAAAGAAGTTTTACTTCAAAAAATCAGCAGAGCCTACGAGCCTAAAACAAAGACAAATTTGCTATGAAATCTACAACTACAATTTTATCTAGAGCATTTTTATAGAGAACTTCCAAAACCTTTTTGAGTAAAGTATGATGCATATTTAGGCATATAACCGGATAAATTTGGAATAAAATTTTGATTTCCTGATGGCATTAAATATAAATTTGTAGACCGATTTTGCCGAATAACAAAGAAATGTTATGGCAAGGCTATGTTACGTTCCAACTTCCATACATTATGCTACTGAATCATACTGCATACTGTCAAAATGTCATGTATTTGCTGTGCATTCAGGCGTTTTACATGTAAACTGCAACGTCACTCGTATGTTATGAAGCTGGGTCAGAAAGACCCTGTTATCTAAGATCGTTTTTTTTTGACATTTGTGCGGCTTCTAGGTTATGTTCTATCTGACTGTGACTGCACAGCAACCACATGGATTTTTCAATATTTAGTATGAAAAGTTTTTCATACCATGGCCTTGTCATAATCTGTTCCTTAATCAACAATTGTTGTCCACCAGCTCTCGTTCTATTAATGTTATTATTGCAATATCGCAAATCGCATCGTCCTTGCAGTGACATTACAAATTACTGAATGATGGAATGACTGACTTTGACTGCCCATGGAGATTATTTTTATTTCATGCAACGGTGCACTAATAGAGGCGATTCATATGCAACCAATTTGTGCGATGCAATCATCGTCGTCGTCGTCATCATCACTTCCCACGACGACAACTACTGATTTCATTTTATTTATACCAGAGGACGAAGTCGAAAAAATAGGAATAATTATTCGAAAATTTTATTGATAGTAGCAAATTATAGTGAGTGGTGTATGGCATTGTTGATGTCGACTCCTCATTTTCTACGACTTAATTGTTTTTATTGGCAACGAAATGCAAGTTGTTTTTGACCAGAGGACGATGTCAATAAGTAGACAAATATCTAAATTTATTAATAATAGAATATTATATCTTATGGTGTATGACGTTGTCAATGTCTATTCCTCATTTCTTATAGCTGAATTATTTTTATTTGCAATAAGATGCAAGCTGTTTTTGGTCAGAGGATGATGTCTAGAAAATTGATTTAGATGATACCAGATGACTCCTTAAATTAATAAAAAAATGAAATTAGTGGTGAATGACATTGTTAATGTATGGGTAAGGATGGGATACATAAGGATGGGATTATAATTTACCAATGGAAATTATACTGTTAAAACAAAACCAACTACATCACAGCAAATAACACATATCAAACAAACAACTATCGAACTATGTTCAATAAAATTTCTAACAAATTCATCCTACTATTAACTTTTCGTGGGGTAGTTATAGTAATCGGACGAAAGTCAAAAATTGAAATTTTTGCATTTCTCGACATTTTGAAAGTTTCTGAACATTTTGGCATACCTCAGAAAAAATGGATGTGTGTGTGTGTGTTTTGCATGTCCGCATTTTTTCGTCCACGTTTTCGGGCGCACGGATCAACCGATTTGAATGGTTTTAAAAAAAATCTATCCCTATTGATAGGGAGATGTGCTGATTAGTTTTTGGCAAAGGCAGGTCCAGCCGTTACGGAGATACGGAGCAAAGAGTGCAGAAAATACAAATCGAGTTTTTGAGAGAACGGAGTATCGGATTTGAATGATCTAAAAAAACATTCAATTTGTAATGATTGGGAGAAGAGGTGATCAGTTTTTGGCAAAGACAGGTCCCTTCATTTCGAAGATACAGGGCTAAATGTGCAAGAAATGGCAGTTTTTGAGTGAACTAAGCATCCGATTTGAATGATCTAAAAAACTTTCTGCTCGTGTTGACAAAACAATTGCTTTTGAGGATAAAAAAATATTACATTTTTTTTTTATTTTCCATAAAATATTTTTGTAATTTTGAATAAAACCCAAGCTAAGCACAGTCTAAGCGCCACTCTGGTACAAATGTTTACCCAAGTGCGTTTAGACTGTTTATGTACTGGAGCACTTTTCCAATTTTGTGAAAACTATTGAAAAATGTGAAAATGCCGCCAAGCACAGTATAAGTGAAAATGTCGCACAGAATTATTTGCAAATGCATTTAGACTGTGACTATGCGGGAGCTCTTTTTAAATTTTGTGTAAAATAGGCAACTATTTTTTTTTGAAATTGAATTCGAAATGAAATGACGATTGTTAATGTTCTGGAGATAAATTGATTTATGATTTATGATTTGCATTTGATTTATATTTATCAATCAATTATATTTATATTTATATTTATACACAATTGTACAATTATAGGTATTATATGGTATATAACTTAAATTACAGATAATAATACAATATAAAAATGAAATATAATTAAAAAAACAAATGTTCACTTAAAATCTTATTCTAATTTTCACAAAATAATTTACTGAAAGTTAAAACTCAAATACTCCTCAATAGAGTAAAGCACTTGCTCTTTAAAAAATGTATTGAGTAGTTTATAAAATTTCTTATTTCCAACTTCTCTAATACCTAGTGGCAGCTTATTGTAAAGCATTATGCCCAGACCATCTAAGTTATTAAATGAGGAGGCCAGTTTCAATGTGGGACCTTTTACAAGTTTATGTCTTGTGTCATAATAAATACATTCGGGATTTGGGCTTAAATTAAACAGGTTACCATTATTTTTTATAAAACAGAGGGTGATTAGGAGAAAAATGCATGGGACGGGTAGAATCTTGTGCTCATGGAAAAAAGGTCGACAAGATGTAGTGGACGAAAGGGAAAACATAACTCTAATTGCTTTTTTCTGTAATTGAAAAACTGATGTTAGTAACGGTGAAAACCCCCAAAATTGAATGCCGTAAATTACATTAGAATAAAAATATGAGTAATAAATTGTGAAAAGGCTCTCTTTGCTTACTTTCATTTTTAAATTACGAAGCATAAAGCAGGTTTTTGATAATTTAGGGTTCAGAGTGTTAATTATGTGATGATCTCATTTCACATTGTTACTAATATTTATACCAAGAAATTTTGTATTATTCAAGAACTCATAAGTGTTATTATTAAAGATGTACGGGGAAATATCTCGACAAATTTTATTATTATTATTAAAAGAAATTAATTTTGTTTTGTTATTATTCAATTTGCTCAGATATAACAACATAGCAAAAATAATGAAAGTTACAGTATTTGTAATAATATATTTGAGAACGTTTAAAATTTCTTGAATATTTTATTACGGGAAGTTCCAGCAATTTGCCTTAAGGCACGATGCCACCCACCACTAGTTTTTTCTATTTTTCAAAAATTTGTGACTTGATTCTTTCTCTTGAGGCAAAAACGTCCACTGTTTTTTGCTCGATTTTTTATATATTTTTTTCCTTTTTCAGGGTCTCCTTTGGTAGTTCCAAAGGATCAATGGTTGAGACTCTGGTCTACGAAAGTCCTGTAGGAGGTGCTCTGATAGAAGAACCCGAAGACAAACATTTGTTGTCGCAGGATGATTCGCTCCAGGAAGGCGAAGAGTGAGTACAATTTATCTTTTTAATAAAATTTTACATCAATTTTGTCATTGCTTGGTTTTCATATGATTCTTGAATTTGGACATCCTGAAAAATCTGGGATTTCTGTTGTTTATACTACTTGCAAAGGGTATGGGCTAATATTTATGCAAAAATCTACATTTTAGAAAACCGGTTTTTGAAGAGTAATTTTTCCAGAAAACCAAATTTCTGGTTTGAGTTTTGGCATACCTTAGAAAAGATGCGGATACAATTTTATTGATAACTAGATGACCCGACAGACGTTGCCCTTTACCCATGTCTACAATTTTTTATTATAATATACTAATTTTTACCCTTCACCTAAAAATAATAATTATTGTTTTTTAAATTACTTTTCACGCCAAAATGCATATACATTTATAATATGAGCGATGTTAAATGTAAAACTGCTTTAAATAAAATTATGAGTTTCAATTCCCACACTATATTGGAAATTGAAATTTTAAGCGGTTGCATTGCAAATTAAACTTCTCCTAATCGATATCGTGGGGGCGGAATTGTATGTATTCATTTCTACTTTCCCATTTGTTGTTATAAAGTGAAATTTGTACGAATTTTAAAAATATTGTGGAAAGATTAGTAGAAGATGCAAAGAAAAATATATATTGAAAAATAAAACTATATTAAAAATTTAATATCCGAATCTTGTATTGTCGCCCCCTAAGGCGTGCACTCGTATTTTTTGCATGCATCGCATTAAAAGTAGGACCGGCCCTGATTAATACTTAATTTCATATTTTAAGTGAATAAATTTGTCATATCCTGTTCATATGTGTATCATTCAATCTGCCATACATATACTGTATTTTATATTATTTTAATTTCTGGCACATCTCAGCTGCTTTTTGACAATAATAATGTAGACATTTTTTTTTCTTATTCATAATCATAAGTATATTATACATATTCTAATATTGTCTAGGTTCATAAGTAAATTGAAATTTTTGGCAAGTGATAGTTTTCATTTGTTTTCAATGCAAACAATAACATGTTGTTTTTTGGCAATTTTGTCCATTTATTTCTACAATATTGCACATACATCCCAGTACTTTATAATCACATACATCCTAGAAAATTTCCTTAACAAACTTTTGAAAGATTTATCAAAATCCGAAAAATAGTTTCGGAGAAGTATACAGTGAGTGCTTGTTAATATGAACTTTATATAATAGCAATAAAGCTCAAATTGATTCTACTATTGATTTGAAAAAGAAAAGGGCTGTTTTTAGGGTTTTACCGGCAATTATTTGATTTTTTCTCGCCGTAAGTCCTCTTCCTTGGACTTGAACGAACATTTTAAAAAAAGAATTGGCCAAATTGGTTCAGACGTTGTTGAGTTATGCCCTTACCAACACCTTTTGCGATTCATTTTTATATATAAGAAGATAAAAAAAACTAATTTAATAGAACAAAAAAATAATAGTTAACCAGTACTAAACTTGTTAGAAGCTTTGACTCGAATTGTGTTTCTATTTGTCTTTTAATTTTCTTTATTATTCCTAATATAATATAAACTTCTTCGGAAGAGTAAAAATACCAATTTTATTTTTCTCATCTATTGAATCCTATCTTATTAAATTAACATGGCCTATCCTCGTCCATCAATGCCATCACAGAATTATTATCTAAACATTTCATTAAAAGCATTTCCTGATGAAATCGCTAATATTAGACCACATGGGCATTCGCAAACTAACTAACTAGCAAACTTTGCAAATCTCAGATAAATTTAGTACAAGGCTATAATTAGATCACCATCATGATCATCATGATCATCGTTGGACCAACCTCAATGTTTTAATTTTAATTGAAAACGAGAGACGAGGAGATTTAGAATAGATGCCATTGGATATGGATTTAGATTCGTGAAAAAAGACATTTATGGGGCAATTTAAACATTCAATTTGTAATGATTGGGAGAAGAGGTGATTAGTTTTTGGCAAAGACAGGTCCCGCCGTTTCGGAGATACAGAGAATTTATACAAAAACCGACATTTCAGAAAACCGGTTTTCGAATTTTAATTTTACTAAAAACCCGGTTTTAGCCGGTTTTCGAATTTTATATAGAAAATAAATTTTTGCTCGAATATCCTGTAATTTATCCGCAAATTTAGTGTAATTTAGAGCAGTATTTGACTGAATTTATTTATTGTTCAATTTTATGGATAGTAAACAAAATTATTTTAATTTTCATTATTAGAACTAAAAGATAATAGTTTATCTTGATTAAATAACATTGAAAATAATTATTCGTTATTCATGCATCATTTTGACATATAAGAATGAAAATATTTTTTATGATAGTGAAAGGAAAATTTTCGAATAAATAAAAATAATACATTTTTAAATAAAAAAAAACAATTTAAAACAGTTAATATCAATTTTAGTTCTAAAAACAATTAAGCTAAACTCGGGTATTGTCTGTTCCGAGCAATTTTAATTAATTAGTTTTAAACATTCTAATTGTTTTTTTTTAACTTCCCGTAGGGAAAGTTATAGTAATCGCAAAAAAATCGAAAATGAAAATTTTTATATATCTTTACGTTTCAGAGGTTTCAGAATATTTTGGCATACCTTAGAAAAAATGGATGTATGTGTGTGTGTGTATGCGTGTGTGTGTATGTGTGTGTGTGCGTGTATGTATGTGTGTGCGGATACAAATTTTCATTGACGATTTCGGGAACACGGATGAAGCAATTTGAATAATTCAAAAAACATTCGATTCGTATTGATAAGGAGACGTGCTGATTAGTTTTTGGCGGAGGCAGGTCTAGCCGTTCCGAAGATACGGGGCAAAAAGTGCCAAAAATGGTAACTCAGTTTTTAAGAGAACGGAGCGTCCGATTTGAATAATTCAAAAAACATTTTATTTGTATTAACTGAGTGAAGAACTGTTCAAATTTTTGTAAAGGCAGGTGCAACGACTTCGGAGATATGAAAAAGTAAAGAAATGGGCCATTTGGCGGTCAAAAATAAACATATTAGGCATATGCACATCAAATTATCAGATATTTTATAGAGATTTTAACAATAAGTATGAATTTTGTTTACATTCCTATGGGTTCCGTACCAATGTTTACGCGTTAGACGGCGACGCGGCGCTTACGCGCTTTGATATTTCGTCTTTATGCAGTTAAAAACAAGTTCAGAATTTCCAATAAATTTTAAGATGATTTAATATGGTTCGAAATTCTATTAAAAGTTTCAAATCATTGATCAATTTTTATTGATTATTATTGATTATTTCTAACTACTCGAATTTTGAATTGCGGTACGGAAAGTTCCAGCAATTTGCCTTAAGGCACGATGCCTTGCCTTAGGACAGAATTCCACTTACGATTGTTAATGTTCTGGAGATAAATTGATTTATAATTTACATTTGATTTGCTCAGATATGATAAGATAGCAAAAATAATGAAAGTTACAGTGTTTGTAATAATATATGTGAAAACGTTTAAAATTTTTTGAATATTTCATTACGGTTCGGGAAGTTCCAGCAATTTGCCTTAAGGCACGATGCCATACACCACTAGTTTGAGATTTTGCTGAGATCTGGAAAAATTTTATAAGTATTTTATTATCATATACCCAACACTCCTCCAACAAGATAAGTAGGAACAGAGTTACAGTTATAGTTGTTATGCGAATATAAGTAGGCAGATCTTTCGTGTTTCTTCTGACTTGAGTAGACTGAAATGTCAGGAGGTCATGCGAACTTTGTTTTAGAATTATTTTAATGAGCCGGAATTCATATCTTATTTTACATCTGCAGAAAATAGATCTGAAGATGGTAGAGAGATCTATTTGGTAGACCAAGTTGGTAATGGATCAGATGAGAAATGACGAGGTAATGGAATCGAAGTCCAATTTTTTTAAGAACTTATTTATTTAAAATCATAAAGTTTTGTAACCTCAGTTCAAACAGTTCTCAGTTCGTCTTACAATTTGGATTTGTCTGTTTATTTTACTATGAGCCTTTACCATTAATTTTTTTAACCATTGTCTGTAGAACATGTTTTTATACCAAGAGGGTATATAACAAAATTATTTTACTCTGCAAAAATTCTTGTTAATCTGTAATTAAAACAGTAACTACCTCTTCTTTTTCCCAAAGTGACAATAATTATTGTCTATTACTAGACAAGTTGTTAAAGTCGTCCAAGTCGTAACATTCAGCAACCGTAAACGAAAATCGTAAAATAAACGCAAATAGATGAAAATAATAATAAATCTTAATACTGAATAAGCTGGATGGTGTCAGACTGTCAGATCTTATTGTAAGATTGGGTTGTTAAGGGAATTAGGATTTGTTTCCAAAGTTGTAAAAGATATATACGTTTATGTCTATTTACAAGCTCCAAAAGATAAAGTAAATTTTTTATCTAACTTGTGATTTATTTTAAGGGTATTAAAATGCTTGTATTAATGTGCATATTTAAGAATTTCTAAAGAAAGTGAAATAATTTTAAAAATCCTAGAAAACTAATGGGCCATCACAGAACTCACTTTTATAGAATAACTAGCAATCCCGGCGAACTCCGTTTCGCCATCAGATGGTTTCCTGAGAAAGATGAAGAAATTTTTTGTTTGTTTTATATTTGAAATGGAAAAATTTGATTTTATTATTCAACAGTAATGAATTTATTTCGATTACAAAAATGAAGTGTTTTTAGTTGAATTTATCTAAGTAAATGAAAGTGAATCCGCAAATTATCTGTTTCATAGAAGTGCTCTGGTAAATCACATTTTTTGTTTTTTGGTCTGACGTTAACACAAACAAAGCGGATGGTTTTCCAACTCGTGAACAAGCAACGTATAACTGCCCATGTAAAAAACAATGATTTTCTAAATAATCTATTTGAAATTTATCCCGCAAACACTAAGCGATTGGTCTTGCGACTTGTTATTGCGAATGCAAGGCGAACTGAAAATTGCAATCGTTTGAAGTCAAACGGAAGACC